TGTAAAAACATCAAAATCAGTCAAAGTCGCAGTTTTTGAGATAAAAAAACTTGAAAAAATTCCTTTACTTTGAAACTAAAAGAACTGCCTAACAACTTTTTATTAACATATTTTAGTATGGGCGGCTATACGTGCCTCCCGGCGCCAATTTTTTATCTTTCATTTGGTAAATGGATTCGTTTTTAGGTGGAAGTAACGCTTGTCGTGCTTCAGTTTTTTTCTTAAATATTTTCTCCATTTTAATGGAAACGTTCGTAGCGAGTATCTGAGACGGTTTTAGAGAGGTTAGTTCTCCATCTCCGATACCAGTCGTACCAAAGTTTATGACACTGTTGTTATGGTTTTCCCAATTTTTCCCCCGCAAAACCTGCATTCGCTGCTGTTTCTTAGCTTCATTCTACTGAGGTGTTCATTGAGGAGACAGTGTCCTGCAAAAAAAACCATGACAGTCCGAAGATTGTTCTTAGTTATATCAAGGAAAATCTTTGATTTTTCTCGGTCGTAAGTCCTGAGAAAATGAATATCGACGATGCACTACCCTGGTATACTTAGTCATTTCTTTTCTTTCGTTTTTCACCTGTTCAATGGCGTATAGATTTCTAAATATTTATTGGCGACTTTTGGAAATGTGGCAACGGTGTACGACGCCGATCCCTTTCACCTTTGGACGCAACGCGACGCATCGGCGTCCCAAAATACCGTTATTTCGTGAGTGCAATCGAAACCGTTCGTTGTGCGGAAGGAATTTCATCTTTTTTTCTCTCTTTATCATTTTACTTGGCTCGAATCTGCCCTACTTTCCTACATTCAGCTCTTGCGGTACCAGCGGTACGGCCAAACTCATCCGGAAACTCGGGAACAACCGTTAACCGATGCAGGTTCCACCTCTATTTAACATTTTATCTTTTTGTCCTTGTATTTAAAATATAACAGGTGAATTTCTTAGGCTATTTTTGTGAAAAAGGATCCTATAACAGTATACTGCTTTATTAGGAATAAAAATGACACCTTTTCTGGCGAGGCTGTACGCTTGACATCACAGACGAGTCACAAAGTCATTTTTACTCCGAATAGAACATGTTATTTTTTTCAAACGTCACAAATAGTTTTTTAGACAATTTCAATATTGCAAATAATATAAAAAGATTTAAAAGTAATACCTTCTAAGTAATTATATACCGAGAAACTATGGTTACACTCGTTGAATTTGACAAGTTACGTCAGTTTAATAATATATTATTTTCGTACTTTTGTGCCTGGGTGTAAAAGTGCTTTACTTTTATGCCTAGACATTAAAATGACTTTTTCATATTGTCAATCACAACGCAAAAAAATAATACTTTTGTGGCGGTTGAAAAAAATATGTTTATGTCCGAAAAAGCGTAAGTTTGCGCAATTAAATGTTTTAGAAGAAATTGTTTTAATTATAAATCGAATTATATTTTTAGAAAGCTCATAACAAGGTAACATGTATAATACAGGGTGTTCCTTTTTAAAGTCATAATTCGAAAATGACAACTTCCAGCGAAAACCTAGTTACGCCACTGTATTTTACGTGAAAAATACTACGGGACACAATTTTCGTCTTTTCGAAAAGATATAAGATAACAAAGATACGAAGGGGATCGGAAAATACCCAAGGAAAATACAACATTTTGCCCTGTATTCGTAAAATATAAACGCCCTGTATTTCAGATACCAAGGGGTTAGGTCAAATCCGCGGGGTAAACCGCTGACAAATTTGTGTACACTAGTACCACGACTAATATAGTCTATAAAATGAATAAGTTTGAATTTTGACCGTTATTTTTTACCAACATGGCAAATATAAAATCCCTCTGTCAAAACTTTCGTGAAATAAAATAGGAAAATCATAAAATAAGTGACAGTTCTTCCTCTTCTTGCAAGAATCAACACGAAATGTCATAATTGTCAAAGTAAAATGTCATCAGCTTTTGACATTTCTAAATATCAGACACGCATAAGGTTAATTGATGCATTTTGCAGTTATTTTCCGTGAAAATAGTGCTTTTCTTAGTGTTTCTGGTGTTTTTCTTACGTTTTCCCCAATTTATGGACCTAACTAATTGAATTTTGTTGATTTTATACCGTTTAGAGTGTTCTTGGATTAAGTTTGTGGTGTTTGTGTATTTTTTTTTTGAATTGTTGCTAACGTTACGTCAGCATGGCCGCAAGTTGCTAACCTAATAAAATTAACACTAGAAAAGCCCGCGGGAACTGTGAAATTCAAAGTTATTCGTTTCACAGACTATACCACTGATACCAATGCTAACATCTTGTACACTAAAAAGACACCAGCGGTTTACCCCTCGGTCAAATCTGTGTATAGCATATTAATAAAAAAAAGTAACACTGTGATGTAAAACCCGCAATTTTGTATTTCTACTCACAAACGAGAAACCCCATAAAAAACACGAAAATGGGACACCCTGTACATATTTAAAAACTAATATCTAAATTTAAAAAAAATTGTCGAAAATTTTATGCACTAAATACAAGACGTATGTATTTTCAAACACGGATTCCACCTCTTATATAATTTGGCACGGTCAAATCGTAAATATTTTTCAAAATGTTCTGTTTAATATTATTTGAATTTCAAAACGTTTATTGGATTTGTTTTTCGTCAACATTTCCTGGTAAATATATAATAATATGATGGTGTTTCTTTATTTGTATCTCGATTTGTATATTGTATATTTCTGAGCATTTTATTATTTATACCCTGTATATCAATCTAAAAAATATTCTAGCTCCACAAGAACGTAGTTCTGCACTAGAGTTTGCGAATGAAATGTATTCGAACAGCGGATTTTTGTCACTTGTACTACAGATAACATTAATATATTACTATGTTATCTGTGCTTGTAACTTGTAACATCATTTGCAAAATAAATCCCCGCCGTTTAGAGGTCTAATGGATTCACACGAAATTACATATTTGAAAAAAAAATTAAAAACATTTTAATTGGTCAATAGATATGAAGTAGATATACACGGCTGGTCACTGGTCACTTTAATTCCATGGTCTATATTTTAATGCATACGACAGAGATAAATATATACGACCAGTTGAGAGACAAAACAAAAAGCGGCATACAGGGCTGCCAGTTCGTACGAGATGTGAAATAATTATCGAAGATAATAAATATATAAATATAAGCTATTCAACAATGCTCATTTCTATTAAACAGTTGTTTAAGAATCTATTACAGCTGTAGTAAAATGACACAACAAACTGTGAAAAATAAAGTTCCAACCCTAGATGCAACATTTTTCACAAACACCTACTTGTGGGGTTTGAAAGTTTGATGCAAAATCCGGCAATACCGCATAGAAGAAATTCATTTAAGCTGTCTACATACTGTCTTACACATTAAAATCCAGACCACTCAGTTTCGATGACCAGATCGGTATATTCCTTTTATTTCTTTTGTTTTTAACGGACATTTTAGTTATTTTTTGACGTCTAAACTAATCGTTGTGCAACGATTGGTTTCTAATTTTATGATGGGATGACTCAACATACAGTAGTAGATGTACGTACATGACTATTTATTCTCAGTGCAGTTCCTAGAGATACTCGCACATGGTGACTCAACGAGAACAATAATTTTATCATAATTTTTAGCTGAACTATGCGTCACCAGGAATTGTCTGTCATCAAAGGGCTTTGTGAGGAGGGGCACGGTTGACATTTTTTGCTTATTTTTTCGTCTTATAAATATGGTATTTGGTATCGTTATTGGTATACAAAGCGCGTCAGGCGTTTATACAGAATTTCTAAGTTATTTATTAAAGGAGCTACGCCGTACTATTGCCAGAGTCATCAAAGTCCGCTTTTATATTGTCTTTTTGAGCTAACAAAAGATTAATGCATGTTAATAGAAAAAGTTAAACTTGGCAGCGTTGCACTGGCTCGTTTTAGACGCCTGAGAAAAAAAAAACGATGGCTGGTCTCGTGCAATTATTTGTTTTTCTTTCCGGCGCCTAAAAATAAGTATTTTTTGAATGCAAATAAAAATACAACGTCGACGTCAAACGAACTGAAGCAGTAATGTCGTGATTGGAAACGTCTATCCAATATGACGCAGTCTGATTTTTTAAATAACGATATAGATATCTGTCCATTGATTTATTATATCAAGACTAAACTGAAGTTTACTTAGTTTGGTTAGGGTTTATTCACATGATACGTCAGTAACGTCTCATTCTCGTTCTGTCAAACAGGTCTCAGTTAAGCACGGTCCACACGCAACGACGTATCGTACGATTTACTTGCGTCGACAAAGCGTTGCAGATAAACGTAGCGCGTGCACAGCAAGCTTGACAAAATTTTAGAACTGCACAAACTCTGAAGTGAGTTAAAAATTTCAGCTCCTGGCCATAGATTTCGGCGGTTTGTACAGCCAAGTCGTAACGTGTGGATGCTCACCCCCAACGGTTTGTTCGTGGTTTAGTTTAATTTTAGTCAGTTAATAAAATACAAATGATGTCTGACCTAAGGTAATGTTCACATGAGTTTCTCAGTGAGTTAATTGAAGTAACAAGAGTTTCCCTTCCTTATGGCGAATAAAATCAAAAGAATACAGTGACAGAACATATACAAAAATCAGCAAATCATACGATAAGTCGTTGCGTGTGAACCGCGCTTAAATCTTTGTGAATTTCCTGTCGTCAAAGTCGACCAACATGACCTATTTGTGACACTTGAACTTACGAGATAACAATACCAAGATACGACGAAATAACTCAAAACCTTTCGTCATGCACAATGGTACTGCAAATTCGCTTGGAATCTTTTATCTCTCCTTGGAGAGCGGTACGATATTCGTCGCGAAACTACGCAGCCAACGTAAATGCGTGTTCAATCAAGGAGAGAGCGTGATTAACGTCATTGTTAGGTATTATACGCTTCGAGAATATTACCCGCAATAATTCCACTTCACACATACACAAAGAAGATTCCTGGTACTTACGTTCCGTTATATTCTGGGCGGTACTACTACAACTTCCGTTTCTTGTAATCCAAATGAAACTCACAAAGAAACTTCACACAACAGATAAACCGCACTGCAACAGCTGTTCATCGCGATTTTCTTAAATAAAAACAATAATTCTCCATCCGTTTTCGGAGAAACAAGTGCCTGCCTACGCCACTGGCACGTCAAAAGTCGAATCACAGCCCACTCCGATAATAATTACGTCCACGTAATTGCCAGCAGAAATGACACCTTCGACGCGGATCTTGTTGTGCGTACGTTGGTTGCGAAAAAAACTGAAAATGAGAGGAAAAACTACTAGAAAATTAACTAACTGGGGAAAACACAATAAAGATTTTAATACAGACGCGCGACGGGCCACTCCGCCAGGCCCGTTTCCACTGACTGATGTTCGTGTTGTGCGATCGGGTCGGGTCGCGGAGCCGAACGGCTGGGGACGGGGGTGGTGCGCAGGCGCGCCGAGCTCAAATGTAAACAGCAGCGTGCACGCGCCATCGCCCCGTTGCCGGATCTCGCCATTTATTCCCTAGATCTTAGATTTTTCGTTTGTTTTTCATACTATATACCATCGAAAAAAAAGGCGTCAACAACGAAATGACGGTCGCCGTCATTTCATATGTAAAATTAAATGGGGAATGCATCGATCGTCATTTTCAAACCATCTGGACATCGTTTTTTTCAATGATACGATAGTTAGATGATTGCTATCATTTTCTAATGTTGATTTATCAATCAGAGAGATATCTCTCTTGATGAAGTCTCTTTTGTTTCAATCGTCACGAAAGTTTTAATTTTTGCGATATGATTGACAATACCGGGTGCGTCTCAAAAGTGGCTCACCCCTATAACTTTTTTTCAGATAAAACAACGATATTTGGTATGTTAGTATATGACATAAATTGGGATTGATTGACATAATCAATTGTTTTCGGTCACTTCCGGTTTCATCGGAAATGACTACAACTTTTGATTTTTAAATGGCACACTCGGTATTTTTTTACTTTATTCAATAGAAAATGACACACTAAATCGAATGACATATCATATGTCATCTTTTGACATTTTGCAATATGGTTTATTTGAAATTGTAACATGCGGTTCATAATGACAATTTGACTCAAAATACCAAGTGTGTGGTATCAAATTATTCGTAAAAAATGCTTTTTCCAAATATGTTAATGAGCCACCCTCGTTCCATTTGAAAAAATTGAGATATAATTAAAAATACGATTTGGGCATCTTTTACCCGGCCAGGACAAGACACTAAAAACACTAGATGATCAAATCTATTTTTCCAAGGCTCCTTGATTAAAAATTAGTGTTTTTAACACAGCCATGGCACTCTAGATTGAAATTTAAAATATAATTTGTTTTTGAGTGACTATGTCAACAATTGACATACGATATGTCATTCAATTCAGAGTGTCATTTTCTATCGAATAAAGTAAAAAAATACCGAGGGTGCCATTTAAAAATCAAAAGTTGTAGTTATTTCCGGTGAAACCAGAAGTGACCGAAAACAATTGAATATGTCAATCAATCCCAATTTATGTCATATACTAACATACCAAATCTCGTTGTTTTATCTGAAAAAATAAAAAAGTTATAGAGGTGAGCCACTTTTGAGACGCACCCGGTATAAAATAGTATATTGGTTTTATCAGGAGTAAAAATAATAACACTCTTTGTGGCGAGGGTGTACGTTTGACAGGCGAGACACGAAAAGTCACTTGTACTCCGAATAAAACATGCTTTTTGTTTTTGCCTCGCTTGTAATGTCGTCAAACGGACAGCCTCATCACAGAAAGTATCATTTTAACTCCTAAAAAAAACAATGTACTATTTTCTGACTTGGATAATCCTTAAAAAGCTTTATTTGTAGTATATTAGTATAGCAAAGGCAGTGAATAGTACAATAAAAAAATCCAGGTTCGTATGTAAATTAAGAAACATTCATAAATTACATTCAAAGTTATCAAAATGCGTTTCAAAAAATTATTTCAACCACAAAAAATCCCCGAAGTGATTTTCGGTAAATCGACGTGGCAACAGGGCGACGGACAAAGCGAACGTAGGAATTGTGGAGTAATCATCATGGCGGCTTGGCCAGTTTTCAAAGCCATCTCGACGGCATAGGCGCCTCGTCTGCGACGCAATTGGGGCTAAAATTATCGGGCAAATTCCGAAAAGTCAGCGTGTTTCGACGTAAAAACAGTGACGTCACGTTCGTTCTTTATTTCCTGAATAATAACAATATCATGTTCTGCGTAGAACGCGCTAAATAAAGTAAATCGAAAGTAATGCTACGTCAAAATTATTGTCTCACGAAGAAATAAAAAACAAAAGAAAGAAAAATTGCCCGAAGTCCAAAGTTTACAGAATTCTATATCTATACCGGGTGTTTAAAATTAAGTTCACATTATTGGGATTTAGGAAACGGTAAGAAATACAGCGTGACTTAATTTGGGGCTTAATAAGTTGCCTGTAGTGAGCCCAATGGTATAGTTTACAACTGTCCAACTGAAATCAGTTGGAATAGATTGGGACTTTTAATTTCGGCACTGTCTGGGAGCTAATAAGTTTCTAAAAAAAAAAATAAAAAACATAACTATTTTTAATCGACACATTATTTTTAGATCTAATAAATGTTTTTTTGCTTTGTTGTTATAATACACATTATTAATGGTCCTGTAATTGATAAGAAAATTCTAGGACGCACGTTGTAAGCATGTGATAGTGGCGCCTACGTCTGTATCTATCACAGCGGTTTCTTGACGCAAACACATACCAGATTTGAACTACTTGGATTTTCGAGAAGTATCGAAACATTTCGAAAACTTATCAATACAAAATATACAAACAAATACTTATGATTATTTTATTTAGTTTTTTGAACTAAAACCGTACAAAAAAAAACAAAACAACATTATTATAATTATTCCAGCGTTACTTCCAGCTAAAACTGAATTCATTTTACCAAAAGAAATATAAAAAATACCTTCAGTGGTCGGAACAGAAAAATATTGTAGCAGGGGATATCGATGAAACAGTTCTCTCTCTTTCTCTTGTAAATTTATTATATTATGTGACATTAATGATGTACATAAATTATAGTTGTAGTTAGGTTGGGTTGCAGTTAGATGAGGTTGTAGTTAGATGGGTGCCCTTTTTCATTTTATATTATTACTTAAAATCTCTATTGTATTTCATGGTTCCCTTTAAAAGGTAGAGCGAATTATGGCATCTTAATTCCAGTTAATAATATCCCAAGGGAGTTATGACTATTAAAGGTTAGTGTATATAAAAAGTATGAAATAAAAGTAGTAAAATAGTAAAGAAATCAGTAAGAAATAAAGTTAGAAATAAGAAAATATTATTTCTACTCTAAAGTTCCGTCTACACTTCTTAACGTTGTACCTGGCCGGTAAGACGGAGACCCAGAAGACCAAACTTAAGATGAAACCATGATATAAGGAAATTATCAGGGATACCTAGGGGGCCCGCATAGCCAACAATAGACACCAGTGAGCCCAATTACAGGGAGATTATCTGTTAGGGAGGTTATGGTTATACCATAATTAGAAATGGTTGAATAAGCTCTAAATGATTCCGATGGTATGTCATAAAACTATCCAGGTAGAGAGGTCATAAAAACTAGTTTGAATACCTCAATTTAATATCTATTAGACCTTAAAACCTTTAAAGATATACCAATAAAGATTGTGTTCCTGATTTATGTTGTTGATTGGCACGGACTGAAGGCATGTTTATTTTGGCCTCTCTGTTAATGATTTTATAATGTTATTGTTGATTTTCAATAGATCCACAATTAAAAATGAGTTATGAGTAGAAAAAAAAAACATTTATTAGATTAATACTAAAATGTACAAAAGATATGAAATAATTACTAATAATATACAGGGTTATATACTCGTGGGCCCGATTCTGCTTTGTTTCGTAGCTGCAGAAGTCTTCATTTTTTTTCGATTTATTATACACAATTTCCTTCCCAGTGCCTTTAGCGATTTGAACGACATTTTGAGGGTGAAAGACACTATACATGATACATAACTTAATGTTAAAAATGTGTCGACAGTAATAATTTCTTAAACATGTGCGCCACTGATTTTTTTCTCTGGTTGGCATAACTGTGTAGGCCGTGTAATGCCGATTAAAGTTTGCCTCTGATATTTTGTCTTGATTGATGAGATAAACGAAATAATTATTTATTAATTTGCTTTAATCCAAGTCTAAAAGCAATCTTTGAATCAAAAAAATGAATGTCATTACTGGCCAAAGTTTTAGATATTTTAGAAGTAGATAGACCCTTGCTTAAGATAATAAAAGAGCTCTATAAAAAATAAAGCGTACGTTAAGATAGGACACAGGCTATCCAATCCAGTAAATACCACAAAAGGATTGCGACAAGGATGCAGCTTATCTCCTCTAATCTTCAATCACCTTCAATGTTTACGTTGAAATAGCCCTTACGGAATCGAAGAGATGTCAAGGTATGGGAATACTCATTGTGGACGATACACTATTTACTCTGAGCTTTGCAGACGATCGGGTCGTGATTGCGCAGAACTCATTACGATCCGGAGTTCATGGCTGAGAGGCTTTATCAAGAATATAACAAATGGGGACATAAGTAAAAAAAAGGGAATACTTAGCTGTCAATTCCAACGCTAACTCTTCATTAATGACAACATCCAGATTCAACAAGTAGGGAAATTGAAATACCTGGGTTCTACTATCAACAGCGAAGGTTTGGGCAAAGAACAAATACAAACCCGAATTCAGAAGAGAAAACAAGTTATTGGATGTCTTAATAGCCTCTGCTGGGACCAATTTAATTATTTGCACTAATTAAAAAGAGACGATGAGAGCAGACGCGAAGCGCAAAATCCAAGTTGTTGAAATGAACTACCTTAGAAGAATCGCAGGTATATCTAGGATGGAAAAAAGACAAATATCGAGGTCAGGCGTATCATGAATGCATCGGAGGAAACAGTACTAGATCGAATCGAATAATCCAGCTTGAAGTCGTTTGGACATATTCTGCGTATGCCGGAGAAAAAAAGGCAGGTGGCCAAAAAAAGTTTTTCAGTGAGGTAGACCTAGAAAACCCTGAAACGGTACGGTTAAGGAAGCAATGGAAGCTCGTAACCTAGAAGCTGATGACGCTCTAAATCGTGACGTGTGGCGTAGGGTAACGGGAAGGCAGCAATAGGCTGTAGTTGGAAATAAGTAACTTAACTTCCCCCTTCCCATACAATCTAAGTAAAGAATATCCCCACGGAAGATGGAGCATGCTTTTTGAAACACCCTGTATATTCCAAGAAAATGAAGGAAATTATGAATTTGACTTAAACGTTTAAATTATTTAGTAATAAAATT